ACTGTTGTTTGTGTGTATATGTATACGTGTGTGTGCCCGCGGCGACTTATCCGCAACTTTAAACTCGGGAACCACAAAAGCTAGGAAGCTGAAAATTTAGAGGCATATCCCCTACCCATGTGCGATCCCGCAAATTCAAATTCAGCCCTCCCTTGTCCGTGGATAACACATACAGCCCCGTAAAAGTTTTGGCGAGTAAGATTATTATCACGTGAACCACGGAATCTAGAAGGCTGAAATTTTTGTGAGCACATCCCCTGTCCACGTTCGACCCAGGAAATTTAAATTCAGTCTCTCCCTACCCGCAGGTAACACGAACGGCCCCATGAAAATTTTGGGGGGTAAGTTATTATCTCGGAAACCACGGAATCTAGGAAGCTGAAATCTTATGGCAATCACCCCTGCCCACGTACGACACTGCAAACTTAAATTCAGCGTTCCTGCACTCTCGCGTATCACCTACGGTCCCGTAAAAGTTTCGGTGAGGAAAATTATTATTTCGGGAACCAACTTTCGAGCTGGGAATGTGAAATTTTAGGGCGATATCCCAACGTACAACCCCCACAAATTGGATTCAGCCTTCAAGCACGTACGGCCCCGTGGAAGTTTTGCATCGTGAACCGCTAAAGCTAGAACGCTGAAATTTTAGCGTAGTAGCCTCCGCCCACGTACAACCCCACAAATTTTCAACGTCCCCGTGAGAATTTTGGCGAGAAAAATCAATATCTCGGGAGCCCAAAGAGTAAGGAGGCTGGAAAATCCAGGCGAATGTTTCCTGTCTACGCAGAGGCTTCACAAATTCAAATCCAGTTGCCACATTTGCCGAGATCTCACGTATGACCACGTAAAGGTTTCGTCTCAAAGATTATTCGAAAGCCAGAAAATTAGCAGATTCGAATATGGGAGGATATTCACCTTTCGAGGTTTCAAATTCAGCTTTCGTGTGTCGCTGCGTGAAATTTTTAACTATTTTTCACAGACCAAAATGCAAAACAATGAAAATCATTAACAGTCAAAATTTAAATTTGAACAAAATTGCACAAAACGCGTGATCGCATCGGCTATTCTGGTGAGCGCA